GCAAAATCCAAGAAAACAACATCAGTACGTTTACCATTTTCCAAGGCAGCTGATATAAAATTAAGTGTTTCAAGTAGATTTGTTGAGCATGATTTATTTTTATCTAAACTTTGCTGTTGCTTGAGTCAAGCAACAGTATATATAAATAGTATAAATAGTCAAGCAGCTTGACTATTAGTTTTAAAAATTATTAATTATATTAATTAATTAATATAAAAAAAGTTTTAAGTTTACATCTAATTATGCCTTCTATTTTTTACATGCATTTGAAGTGAGTGACACCGGTTGGTAGTTTCCTGCTAAAGTTTTTTTTACCTTATTTATACAATGGAGTGACATTTGCTGATCTAAATTGCACTGGCAGTTTGCCAGTTTCAAATGACTCTTAAAAAATATACATAAGTGGAATGGCAAATACAAATGCACAGTTTTTTAAAATAGCTAAATGTAAATTATCAACACCACTTGATTTGTTTTCTTCCAAGTTTTTTAATTTTAGATGGACATCTTTATATGTTAAAATCTTTTTTTATCATAACGAATATTTTATTAGTTCTTAAATCAAAAAAAGGCAGTAGACCATCATCTTCTTTCACAAATGCATCTTGAAATTATTTGTTAAAGATATCAACAATATCTTTTAAATGTTGATTGGTTTAGCAATTTGCTTTCTTTAATTCTTTTATAGAATCTTTGACCGCTTGTTGATTGCTCATGTAGCTGTAGGGAAGTTTTTGGATATTTTTTTATCTTTTTATCGCACTATTTTAATCTCGTCAGCTACATTTTTGCAAATCATTTTGTATTTAAATTTCAACACCGTACCTCTCCATTTACACGAGCAGTTTTTATATTTTTAATTTTGAGTTGAAAAAAATCTGTTTGGAAGCTGCCAACACCAATTTTGAATGTCTTTAGTTGTCTAAGAGTGTGAACCGACACCTAATTGTCATGTTTAAGAAAATCTAAATTGATTCCTAAATTTATTTTGTCTACTTTCTTGATTAGAGGGCTAGCAGCATGAAAAACAGTGGTTTACCTCCTATAGTGAACTTAAAATTGATATTTGAAACGGCTATCACCCTTAACAGTGGATTACCTCTTATTGCGAGTTTATTAAATTTATTTACACAAATAGAACCATTAGTTTTTTTCCCGTTGTTTTCCAAAATGAATAGAACTTCTATAAATTTTGAATTATCTTTATAAATTTTTCAATAATACATTAATAATAATTTGTGTCAACTTATCCCGCCCCGGAAGGACAGCAAGCAATTTTTTTTTTTTTTTTTTTTTGTTCTTTATTACATTTTGAAACATCACGTTATCATTTTATATAATTTACAGGCTAAAATAAAAAATATAAACAATCACAAGTAAAGATATTTAATATATATATAAAAAGAGCGCGGAAACTCGTAGAAGACCGTAAGGTCTTGTCATCGAGTACCGCGGTAAAAAGACGATGTTACATTTTTACAAGTTAAATATTTTACGAGTAAATAAAAAAGTGTTATGCAATAATAAAAGAATAACAAGATTTAAATTAAAAAAACTACAAAAAAAATAAAAAGTTCACAAAAAATTTCTTAAAGATAATTGGACAGATAGTATAATAGCAATATAGACATGAAGATCGTAAATAATTGAGTAACAAATCATATCAAGAAAAATCATACATTACAAATCATATAAACGGATATAAATAATAGATAAAAAGAATTTTAAAAGATTTAAAAGTACATTTGTATGTTGTCAATTTAAAAACTACTTCTTTTAACTTTTTTTTAAAAGATATGTAATTCCACTCAAAAGAAAAATCAAAGTTATTTAAGACAATTTTGTTCCAAAGATACGGTCCACGAAATGATACGCAAAATTTACAATGATTAGTTTTCGAAAATGATTGCATCAAAAAATCATCATTTTGTAGATTGTATTTATTTTATTTGTTTTATTATAAATAAACTATGAAAAATATAAATTCGAATCCTGTGCACAGAATCCGAATTTAAAAAACCTCTTCAAATATATATGCAAATATTAATTTTAATAGAATTAAATTTTACAATAACAATGTTGTTGCTTGGTCGAGCGCTTAGCGCTACGGTCTGAGGCGACAGAGATTCGTGTTCGATCCCCGGTTGGTAAAACTGCACTTTTACTATTTTAATGACAAATCAAATAAAACTTAATTATACTTAAGGCGGATCTTATTTTTTAGGCACCCCTATTTAGTAAATCCGTTAAAAACAAGTCCTACGCGAGATCAGTATTATCGAAAACAAAGCCGAAAACCCAGTGCCGAAGATAGACTACTCGTACCCCTTAATTTGGGGGAGGGGAAAAAAGGGGCAAAAAATTTTGTGTTCTTTTGTTAATTTAAAGAGCTTTTTATTTTAGCGAAACCTAGCGGTAAAATTTAGGAGATTTTGAGACCCAAATGACACGTTTTTTTTGGGGGGGGCTTCCGACCCATTAGCCACGACACTGCTAAAAC